TAAGAGTCTAAAATGTAACTAAGTTAAGTTAAAATTATTTAACTTTTCAACTTTTTAACTTAACTTTTAGCTTTTTAACTTGGCACTACCCAACCCTGGAAAATACGATACTAAAAAATTCTGAAAAAAATCTAAAAAAATTCTCACAATTCTATAAAAAGAAAATAAACAATTTTTGTCTCTTGCTATTTTTTCGTAAAGTTTTAATAGTACTTGAGTAAAAAATTATTGAAAACCAATATTCGGTGATTTTTAATAATTAATATCTTGTTAACTATTACGAAAATTGTAAAATAGTACACTGAGAAAAAATTCTGTTGATGCAATTAAAGTCTATATTACGGGCTCTCACTAACATAAGTGATTAATTCATGTATATTTTTATTGATACAAAGGCATAAATTATTATTTCAATAATTAAGCCTTTATATCAATAAAATATAGCATGAATTAATCACTTATGTTAGTGACAACCCGTAATATAGACTTTAATTGAATCAACAGCATTTTTTTCTCAGTGTAGAGAACTTTTCGTCTTACAATCAGTTTAGTCCGCTCTACCTGCTTACGCGTGTTGTCAGGAGTTATCAGACACCCTATATATACATACATGCATATTACATGCATATATGATTGGTACGAATGTCAAAATAAAATTCAATATATGTCAAATTTAAAAATGTTCAGACAAGCGTGCGATTAATTCAACGTTAGCATAGGTAGGCTACCGTCCCAAAGATCTTAGGTTCAAATCCCGTCGATACTCCATGAGTTTTCAAGAATATTTATAATTGCGTTAATTATAAGAATTTGTATATACATAAAAATAACTAATAAACTTTTAATCAATAAGTATATATTCTGAAAATAAAAAAACAAATTAAATTATAATTAAATTTTTTTTCGTTAAAATATTCCCAGTAGACAAATGTACATATACTTTACAGCAACTTCACATTTATCTTAGAATCATCCAATGCTTTATAGATGAGCCGATTGTGATTCGAAATATTGCAGCAACATTTAGTAAACGAAACATGATGCAAATATGACGTAAATATGAGATATTAAGAATCAGATTTCTCATATTTACATCATATTTGCATCATGGTATTTCGTTTTCTGATCTACTAAATACGACTACAATATTTGGAATCACAATCGGCTCATCTATGAAGCATTTGATGATCGAATACAACGTAAAGTTGCAGTAAAATTGATGTATATCTGTTTATCTGGGAGGTAGTACACCCTATATAAGAGTAAGTTAATTTTGACTCTGCAACTTTGTCGTAGAGCAGTTTTGTAGCACTTATTCGTGGA